TCAGCGTTACCTGTAGGACAAGCTTTATCTTTGCGGCTACCAAAGGCAAGCTTTGGGACCTTCCCCTGGGGGTTTTATCCCCATTTAGTCGCTGTATACCAGGGAAGGTAGGTATAGAGTTACATGTAGGGCCCGAGTCAGAACTTGAATTCATTCATTTCATCATGTGGCATTCACTTTTGTTGGAACCAAGAGGTCTGTTCCCCCCAACAGACATCTGTGTTGATGATATCGCTCCAGGTTCTTAGGGAGGTCATTCCGGAAGACAGGTAGCGTTTCCCTGAGTTCCGCACGGGTATTTACATATATGTATAAATAGATTTTGACAAACACTTGCCTCTAAAGGATCCTCGTGTTTCAAAATTTTTCGCAGTGATAAGGGCCCACCCCCGCACCCTGTCGACTTCTGCCTCCTGAAATCGACACGGGGAATTTCCCTGGTTTGAGGGTCGATTTTGATTATTTTGAGATTATCTGTTTTGATACTCATTTCATTTGTCAAAAGTGTGTGCATGATATATGGCTGCCTATGAACCTGGAATTGATTGTTCTGTAAATCATTTTGTGCACCCCTGAACCGAGGATGCACCTTGCTTGAGTGAGAAAAGTGGGATCTTGAATCATGACAACCTTTTAGGAGTGATTTTATCTCTTTTGTCAGAGATTGAAAATCGTCTCTTAAGACCCTATTTTCTTTTTTGATAGAGGAAAGGAGATTAGTATCCATTTCTTGATGAATAGTATTGACAAGTTTTACCATCTGTGCATCAGCCAGTTTGTGGGTTTCAATTCTGATTGCCAACATCTCGGCCTCGTTAATGTCTCTGTGTCTATTTTCTCGTAAGTGTAGTCGCATATCTGGACCGGGAATTGGATCTATAAAATGATCTAATGACGGAACATTTGTCAAGTTAGAATCGGCAGAAGGATATGTTAGCCTAGTGAATTTCTTAATGGATTGTGCAAGCTCAGAAAGAGTTTCTTTTTCACCCTTGGATTTTGTTTTTAACTTAGCTCTGAACATTTCAGATTGTTCAACTGAACCATATATATACCGTCCGTTGAGAATCCTAAATAGGGAATCAAAATCCCTGCGCTGAATTATACTAAGTTCACATAAAAGTGCACGAGCCCCTCTGCTGGCTTAGTTGGGTGACTTTGCCATATAATTCCAACTGTGTAAATCAACTGTGATTTCAAACTGGGCTAATTATTCCCGAAATCTTCTGACCCATCAAATATAAGGGGCTAGATAGATATAAAAGGTTTGAAATTGAATTGAGATGGTACTCCATTTTTATTGTAATTTAGCTCCCTTGCAGGAGTATTCATATGAGTAACACTTTACCCAGCCCCAGTGATAAGAGATTGATCTTGAAAACCCAAGGACTCACTACACCCATGCATTTGATATCTGAATGTAATACATGTATCTTTTGGGCTCCCTTTTGTTTTAACTCATCTACTTGTTTTTGTAAGTTACGAGAGTCTTGTCTAATGTTTGACAGTTGTTCATGTCTTGTTTCATGTTTAACACTTCTTTGTTCATAGTTTCAACAGATCCAAACAAAAGTTCATTTATATTTTCATCCGTGTCAGAACCTGATTTCTCTCTGGAAGAAGAGGTCACTGACCGTCGATAATCATCACAAGTGATGTAATCATTGAGATCGAATGACCTGCACCCATTCTCCCCAGAGGCTTCAAATTGACTGTCTTTATTTGACATCTTGATTTTTGTTTTTGCTACATATTTTATATATATATATATATATATATATATATATATATATATATATATATATATATATATATATATATATATATATATATATATATACGAGGGTTGTCCGGTAAAATCGTGGACATCGCGTTTTTATCGAAAAATATTACGCGCACTAAGCTGAAATTTTCAGCTTATGTTTAACTAACATATTTCAGCACATTTTAATATTTTTGATAAATTATTGGCAAAACTAAGGATTTTATTATACTTGAATGTGCACAGGGCATGGTCCTACGGCGCACGACCAAAATTTCAGGGTTCTTTCAGGGAACATGCGAGTATTACTTCGAAAAAAAGTATTAAATAGATAAGGTTGTGGTAAATATTAACATATTTTTAATTCTACCACTATTATTGCCGAGACCAAAGAGATGCCGCGGACATTATTCTCCAATAAATCACGAAAGTCATAAAAAAAATTATCACATCAAAACACATGTCAAACCTGTACATGCAGTTGAAATAAATATTTCACTGTAGAATCTAATACTTATTTAGACCATATCGATGTGTAGTCTTATGCAGTCTAAACAGTGTGTATTGCCTGAAACACCTGATAAATATGTGTTTTTATAGTTAAGTGAGGCTATTTTACGGACCTCCCCACAACATTTACACTCCATGATTTTACTGATATAGAAATGAAATAGACAACTGATTTTGTTATTTTACCTTCATGAAAATTAATCAATACATGTAACAAACAAATGTATAAATAATTAAAGGATGTTTTTAATCCAACGAAAGCTGAAATCGTCTGCATTTTATGCAACTGATACAAGTAAACAAACAAATTGTCTCTCTGGTGTTAAATGGAACAGCGAAATCGCGACATTGTGGCCTAATTCGTTTCTCTATAGAGGAAACGATTAGCCGTATTTTAGAGCTGTCGGTAGAATAAAAATAAAGTCCATGTTGTCGTGAAAGATGCAGGATAACCTCCTCGGTCTCGAAATGTTGTCTGAAATATAAAAGCCTCGGCAAACGCCTCGGCTTTTATATTTCAGACGACATTTCTCGACCTGGGAGGTTATCCTACTACATTCACGATAACGCGGACTTTATTTCTTAATTCACTATCTCTTATGTCGCCATTTTGAAAATTTCAAGGCATTAACTCAATTTTTGGCAATTTCCCGAGCATTTGAAATGGGAAAGTGGTAAACGTAACAATAGAAAAATGGCGACGTTTGACGACGTTACGGCGCACCGGAGAGCAGTTCATTTATATGCAGATTAAGTAATGCCGTCTTAAGAAACTTTTAAATGATAACAGAAAATAACAAAGTATAAAAATATATCAGTAATACTTTATTTTTCAAGTGGATGGGCATTTTAAGCGGAAGTTCTTTGATTGAGTCCCCGCCAGGGTAGAACAAAACATACAGATAATCAGCTACTGCTAATAACGAAAGCCACTATCACTGCAGGCCGTCAAAAGAAAGATTGCCCATTTAGTTCAATAAAAGTGAGAGTATACCTTACATAACATACTAATACATATCTTCAAAAGGTCCCATGTGTGTGCAAAATTGGTCCTTCGACTGTTCATGGAAGAATAAAGGGGAACTCTAGTGTGTACATCAGTGAAATTCCCAGAATTTAAATAGGGTTTTTCCAAGCAAAGATTAAATGTGACGTTGATTAAGACATTTGACGTTATCATCCGTGCTCCGTCAGACGATACCACATATAACTTAAAATCCCATATTTTGTTTATTTGAGCATATATCAGCTTGAAATTTGCCATGTATATTGAGAAAAAGTGTACTAAAGATTAAATTTTAGAAAGAAATGTTGATTATTTTTTACTCTAGAGCACTTGTCCACTTATAATTATATATATATATATATATATATATATATATATATATATATATATATATATATATATATATATATATATATATATATATATATATATATATACAGAGAGGGAGAGAGTGGTTGTGCAAAGTGTTCTGTAGATGTGTTCATTGGGGTAGAGCAGGATAAAGGACTGCTACTTGTGTTTGTGTTCATTTAGGTAGTGGAGGTTAACGAACTGCTGCTGATCTGTAATGATGTCTTTAATACTGATGCTGCTGGTCTACTTTCTGACTCGAGGTGAGGAAAATGCAATTTAGTAGGTGCATGTGGTTAATATGTATGTGCAGAGATTTGTGGTACCTTGTGTATACTTAACCTTGGACTGCATTTGTAAATTTTAGAGATGTAAAACTGCTGTTGCAAGTAACGGGTACGGGTACATCATTTGTAAAAAGAGTTAATTTTTTGTACTGTTGGCATTTGATCCTTTAGAGGAGACTCTAACATTGTAACTGGGCAGCACTTATTTCACTCAGGTTGACTGATGTTTTAGCGTGATTTCTTTCATTTTCAGAGGTTGAATACACAACTAGACTATCTTCTCTGGAACCAAAAATCTCAAGAAAATCTTCATCATCTGCAGCAGTTCTACCCAAAGAAGAAAACTGGCTCGACTACAAACTTTTGCTGACTTCTTGTTTTTCTTTCACCACCCATTTTGTAAATAATAATTTGTTCAGAACAACCAAGACTTGTTATATTTCATCAATAACCATTTAAGCTACTGAATCTGTGTGATTTTTGTTTCGGTCAAAAGGGTTCAACCAATCACTGGATCTGTGGATCTGTTTGTTCTCTTATAAAGATGTGTACGACACAGGATAATCGCACTCGTTTGTTTGTTTGTTTTTGTTGTTTAACGTCCCTCTCGAGAATTTTCACTCATATGGAGACGCCACCACTTGCCGATGGAGAGCTGCAAATTTTGACCTATACTCGGCACTTGGGGCTTTTCAGCAGTGAGGGATCTTTTTCGTACCAGCACGTACTGTGACACGGGACCTCGATTTATACGGTCTCATCCGAAGGACCGGTCTCCAAGTCCCACAGTGGGATTCGAACCCGCGACGTAAGGATCAACTCCTTACTCCGTGACTCTAGAGCAGACGCTCTAACCACTGCGCCACGCGGGCGACATATACCACTTCAGGAAGCGTCTACTCTGTATACTGTGTAACTATCAACGTGTAAAATTAGAATAGTGCATCACCATAATCTTTTGTTACATGTGAATGAGTACTCTTAATGCGATCATTTTAAAACTGTTGTATCATGTGATCTCTTAGTTTGAGGAAGTATTTGCTATATGATCCGAACTGTGTTGTTAACCAACATTTTGCGACATTTTTGGGAAAATACAAATATGAAGGTAAGATTTTTTAAATCAATAATTACATGGTTAAGGTACATGTTGTGTATATATTCACTACTGTAGTGATAAAAAATTTCGAAGAATATTGTAATTATAGACATTAGTAGAAAGTGAATTTAACAAGCCTGTATAAAGTAGCATAGCATATAAATATTCTAAAATCTAATCTATGTTGATGAACATCTGAAATTAATTCTTTTTATTTGCATACATTTTTCTTTTAGATAAAGATGCTTGGATCCCTGTTTATAGTTCAGTTTCTAACAGTGATAGTCAATGGTTTGTTTTCATCTTATGCATGGATGCGAAAATGTCTGAGGGATATAGAAAGGGGTCTTTTTTACCTTATAAAGAGAAAGAAAAATTTGGGAAAAAAACCTTGTTATTTTCAGATCTTGTTATTGAAAATTTTATTCAATTTTTACTACATTCATTCTTGCACGTATATATCTTTTATTTTACATTCAGTGTAAAGTTCTAACTCTGAGGTATGAATTTTAAATTTATTTGCAGAAAATTTGACCCTGTCAATCTTTGAAATTTTTATCATTACATGTAGAATTAAGAAGCGTTGTTTAATTTTTTTTAACAAAAAATATTATAATGCATGCGTGGATCTAGAGGGGGTATCGGGACCCCCCCCCCCCCCCCGGAGTTTGCAGAGTTATTAAAAGGGTATACTGAAGCAAATAAAAATAACTTTGTACTCCCCCCCTCCTCTGAAAACGTGGACTCTGTCACGAAATAAGGTTTTTTTTCACGTTTGGGAAATGGATTTTATGTTTTGTGGGTGGGTGGGTGAGAAGGTGTGTGTGTTTTCTTGTCAAGAAATTTTTGGGTTGACGCTTTTAGGAAAGGAGTTTAGTATTTGTTTTTTTCCTTGTCAAGAAATTTCTGGGTTGGAAATTATTTGACTGGGGTGAACCCCCTCCCCTTGAAAAAATATCCTGGATCCACGCCTGTAATGGCTAAAAATGTTTTGTTTGAATATTAGTTAGGTTAAATAATCTATAGACTTCCTAAACTGTGTAGTGCTCTGTATTCTGTGTGCTAATTTTATATTAAAATACTTAAAATGAATAAAGGCATCATTTTCAGGTCTATTTCTTAAGATGAAAAAAATTCCATCATGGGCAGTCGATGCTCTGTGGCGTGTCCCTGTACAAGGCACTTTATCTGCATTGTCTCAGTCCACCCAGCTTAAAATGGGTACTTGCTTTCGAGTATATATGTGAAAGACTCTCATCCGCTAAGTACTACCGAAACAGGGTAAAAACACTGACTTAATTAGCCATGCGTTGGTTTTCAAAGGATTTAACTTTAGCTCTGTACAATGAATCTCCGTAACACCGAGTTAACCATTTAGTTTCATCTAAATTCTCACGTTTCATTATTAAGGACAGTGCTGGAGTAATAGTACCTGTGCCTGTCACTGTGTAGACTGTAACACAACCTGTACAGAATGTCTGCCTAGATGGAGTGGTTCTACTAATAACAAATGTCAAAGAGGTAAAGTTTACTTCAAATAATCTTAGTTTACAAGCTGTAAAAATATGCTTTTAAAAACTAACAAACTTTATAATGTATATTTTTATATTTTCTTTGTCTACATTATTGAATAGCATGGATGTGGTTTTTCTTTTTTCAGCTAACACTTTATATCAAGGTCATGTCGAAAATGATATGAATTATCAAACACTAGATGGTGATGTTAATACTTCTGTAAAGGTTTCTTACGTCCATCCATATGTAAGAGTCAAATTAAAAAAGTCTACAGAAATTGATAGAATACACATTACCCTCCAGCTTCGTAAGTTCTTTTTAAATATGAATTTATTTCTAAGACCCAATTCATAGCAATTTTCAAACTATGCTTAGAAGTGGGCCCCTAACAATCTCCATAACATATATGGTTGGGTTATCTATGATAATAATGTTTCTTGTAGGGCGTAATGCGACCTATACTTTTTATGTGAAAGAAAAAAGATTTTCTCGTAATCCTGATGTGATTTGTAACACATTATTGCATAGCGACATGGATACTAAGAAAACTGTACCAATGACTTGCAGGAAACCTCTGAAAGGAACATATCTTGAAATCATATCTACAAGAAATACAACCCTTCAAGTGTTTGAATTTCAACATTTTGGTATGTTGATATGAAATGTACAGTTTTTTGTATATCATATTAAACACTTTTCAAGGTCTATATATATATATATATATATATATATATATATATATATGCAAATGTTTTCCTTTATATAACACTATTAAAAGCAATGTGTATCCATATCCGTATAAACACGGGTTCCTCGCGTCATAAACGTTCGACGTAATTTCTCAGTGACGTCATAAAGGGTCGACGCGCGATCAATAGATCAAACTTGTGCCGTTGAGTTTAAAAAAATAAAACATTTCACGCGTTAAAGGTTATAATCAGGCTAATTAATAATATGAATAGGTCACAAATGCAAATATAAGTAATAAGGTATCATTTTAAAACATCTATCGGATATAAATATCGGTTGGTACGAGATCAAATTTACCATAAAGCCCTTCGGGTTTTATGGAATTTGATCTCGTGACCAACCCGTATTTATATCCGGAAAGATGTTTAAAAATGATACCTTATTTCTCATATATATATATATATATATATATATATATATATATATATATACATTTGCAAATATTTTGCTTAGATGAACCTATTGAAGAGAAAATATGTTCAATTCTGTATGAACTGTATGAACTTATTAGGGGCTCAGAGGTCATGGTGTGACCGAATCACAGAGCGAGACGATATCTTGTCTACATAAATTCTGTCAGTGACACTGGTTTCGGAACTTCTAAGCCGTTAAAACGATGAAAAAAAAATAAAATGATTGAAACATATATTTTTTTCGTTCAAAAATGATCATTAGATCTTTCTTCGGTGTGAAGAATGTTTCTAATTAGCCTAAAATCACGCTTACCTATATATATATATAAAAGAAAATAGGATTGTATGTATTTTCTGTCCAAGAAAGACAAGAAATAAAAAAAAAACGAGAAAGGATATATACCACAATTATATTAATTACATCAAGTTATTAATAACAGTAATCATTTAGTTTTCAGCTTTTATTTTAATACTAGAATGTACCAACGGAACTTACGGGAATAACTGCAGCAGCATCTGCCCACCTGGCTGTGACAAAGAATGTGACAAAATTACGGGAAAATGTGTTTGTCGGAAGGGTTTCTATGGAAACCTTTGTGAAGAGAAATGCTCCATGTTTTGTAATGAGAGAGGATGCAATTCAGATACAGGCGATTGCTTAGAATGCAAAAATGGGTTCTTTGGGAATCGGTGTGAGTTAAATTGCTCAGTGGGTTGTCGTGGACTTTGTGATAAGACATCCGGGTATTGTAGTTGTAGTACAGGATTTTATAATAAGAACTGTTCTATGCCTTGTCCAACAACGTGTTTAGACAATGTCTGTAATCAAACATCAGGAGAATGCCTGTCTTGCAGTAATGGCTATTATGGTAATCACTGTAATTATACCTGCCTCGGGAAATGCAATGGAAGTTGCGAAAAAGTGACCGGAGTATGTGATAGTTGCTTAAAAGACATTTATGGTAAATTTTGCAATAATACATGCCCCCCAAATTGCGACGGTGATTCATGTGATAGGAAGAATGGTAACTGCGAGCAGTGCAAGAAAGGATACAGTGGGTCTAAATGCAATGAGACATGTCCAAGTAATTGTCAGCAATGTAGCCAAGATGGATACAATTGTGAAGTTTGTGAAGATGGGTATTTTGGCTCAATATGTGCTCAAAAGTGTCCCAATTCGTGTGGAGGAAATGGATCGTGTGATGTTCGATCAGGTAACTGTCATTTATGTTCTACCGGATTTTACGGCATCAATTGTAATCGTAAGTGCAGTAAATATTGTGACTTACAAGGAGTTTGTGATAAAGATACAGGACAATGTGAAAGATGTGTTCCAGGGAGATATGGGCAACTTTGTTTAGAAGAATGTAGTACTAACTGTTTAAATTCCACATGTTTTAGAAATCAGACCTGTGTTCATGGATGTAAAGATGGATGGTTTGGTGAGCATTGTGACCAGGCGTGTAGTGCTGTTACGGGAAGTTGTGCACACTGTGGTTTCATTGAAGAAATTCAAGATATGCAGTGCCTTAAATGTGAGGATCCTTGGTTCCTTTTTGAATCAGAATGTTCCAAGTGTCCCGAAAACTGTTCATCGTGTGTATCAAAGGATGTGTGCACACAATGCAAAAATAACATTTTCTATGGTTCAATATGTGAAAAAAGGTGTGACAATGCCTGCATAAGTAACACTTGTGATATGAATGGAAACTGTTTATACGGATGTAATAACGGTAAATACGACAATGAGTGTAACCAAAACTGTCCCGAAGGTTGCAAATTATGCTTCAATGCGTCTAAATGCTTGGAGTGTGAAGATGGTTACTATGGTGAGATTTGTCAAAAACGTTGTCAAGATAACTGTAAACTATGCTACAATAATTTAAGCTGTGAAGTGTGTACTATTGGTTGGAGTAAAATGTGCGATGGTTACGAAGATTGTCCTGAAGTTATCAGTCCCCTTGTTTGTGCTTTCTGTGATCATGGATATTATGGATATCGTTGTGAGGAAAAATGTGAACATTGTATTAATGCAACATGTGATGGCGAAGGAAAATGTGAGAAAGCCTGTAAACCAAATATCACCACTGGACAGTGTGTAGTATCGCAGGAATCTGGTATGTTTTTCACACTTCAAAGCTCAATTGTGACGTCATCTTTTATGTTATAATTTAACTTTTCTTGTTTTATATTTGAATAAATCAAATAATTCTGTTTAATAAGTAGGAAATGCTTTGTCCGAAAGAAGTGGACAGTTTTTTTTTTTTTTTTTGAAAGACTGGACACGGCTAGGAAAGGTTTTTTTTAAGGAAGATTGAAAATGAAAAAAAAAAGTGAAGATGACAACATATTGATCAAGTAGACGGAACATTCCGAAGTCAATTAAGTATCAAAACAAAAGCCTAACAATTGGCATGAACACGTCAGCCAAAATACGACGCAACGGTTTAGGAAATGCTGACTTTAAACGAGGTTGTTGAAATCCCTGTAACATCAACTTATCTATTAGTAGCCTATCTCGGTTTAAAAATTGATCGTATTCAGAGCATGCTCTTGAGTATTGAATAAGCTTGGAGAAGTAAACACCATATGCAGGTGATAACGGAATATTATTATATAAATAAGGACAATTGAAGATGGAAAAGCTAAAGTGATCTCGTTTGTCATACAGTTTACTTGTTACTTGACCCTTATCATCTACAGTCAGTAAACAGTCAGTAAAACATCCAAATATGAAAGTAGTTGTAGGACCCTGTTGTATATATATTAATATATTTATTACATTTTCAATAGTGAAATAATGTGATTATTTATTGAATGAAATTGATATTCACTGAATTTATTTCACGAGTGGGACAGGGTTTTTCGATATTTTCACGAGTGCGAAATACATATATACTTGTTTTTAGAATCAGAGTGATTTTTTAAAAAAGTAATTTAGTTGATTGCTTACCAAGATACGAACATTTCCGAGTTCCATTTTTATTAAAGAAGCAGTTGTGTATGATATCAAAAACCTTAGTTTTTAATTTTTAATTTAAAGCGAGGAATTGATGCCATGGGTCCGACAAAATTCACGTTGTTCTCGAACTCAGTCAATAAATGAACATGTATACTTGTAATGACTGCGCCTCAAGCTATTTTATCGGGAGGGGGGATCGAAAGTATCTGAACGCTAAATTAAAACAAAAATCAGATGCATAAACTATGACAAAGTACTTAATATGTAATATCTTTTCTAGGACACTTAAAATTCATTTGACATGTACACGTCTTTGTGACTTTTGTATGCAATATACAACTTTGAATTCCTCCTATTCACAAAAAAATCCTCCCAATCATTTTTTCCTTAAAATGCTTGAAAAAATTAACTCCATTGATTTTGATGTCTCCCTTAATTCGTCTAATAATTTTACAGCAGCGTATCAAATTCAAGTAGGAGAGAAAGATAAGCATCATACATACCCGAACTTGTATTTTCTACCTTTATGAGCTTCTCATTATCTCTCTCTATGTGTATCCTGTATGTTTTGTTTTTATTCTTTCTAGTCAATTCATTTCTTTACTCTGCAACCTTTCAATTACCGAGTTAGAGACATTAATGGAAGGAATATTTATTTTAAGATAGATTCGGTATTTTCCCCTTGCGCTTGAAATATATCATTTGCAATAAATACATAAATAAAATTATATATATATATATATATATATATATATATATATATATATATATATATATATATATATATATATATATATATATATATACAGTACAGGCCACGAGTTTTCCCCGAAAAACACGGGGCCCCGTGGACCGCAAGTCCACGCTTTTGCGTGGACCTCGATCAATGTCGGCGTCTTTGAAGTTAGGATGTCTGCGCACCGTGTAACACGGTGTGTACGCGCGGTGTATCACAGTGTCCCATTACGATATCACGCAGAACTTTAAAAAAATATTCATTGTCGTTGTTTAATCAATTATATCAATTTCCTTTGAAATAAGTTTTTTTTTTACTTTTTTCTTAAATATTAGTTCTTCATTATCAGATCTTTGAACAAATAAGATGTCCTTAAATCTAAGATCCACGTGCTCGTGCCCAGCACCGAAAAGACAAAGTCTTCAAATGTGTACGCACATCCATGTAAGTCGTGTTTCAAAACCTAGTTATACGAGAGAAAAGATATGTTCGGTAAACTATTATAATGCTTAGAAGGAATAGTGATTACACTTTCGTAAATAAATTACTTGGTTGTCTTTTCTTTCGATTATACGAGCTGTGTTCATTTTAATTACAGTCATTTTCATTTTTTTTTTTTTTTTTTTTGGCACGTATGCATTCATATGTCGTATTTATCAGATGCATATTTTTTTTATAAATAATTTCTACATAAAGAGAATTTTAAAAAAAAATATATCTAAAATAAAATTTAAAACGTGTCAGATACATGCACATAATTCATAAACTCTCTGATAATTTAAGGATTATTGCAGTCTATGATCTTGTAAAATATGGAGGTAAATATATATCACACACAAAAAAAGTCGTGTTTTGGTATACTGTACAAATATTACCTTATCCTGAAATTATTTAATGAAAAATGTGTCAAACGGTTTGCGAAAAAAAAATCAATTACATGTAGCGAATGTAGTTCGGGGATGTACAGGCATAGAATAAAGCTTCTCTTATGATCAAAGTCTTTGTAAAGTTATTATCATGGTTTTAGAGAAAAAAAAAAAATATGTAGTTACATGTAGTAAAATCCCTGGCCTCTTTCAAGCTATTATGTTTGTTACCCCCCCCCCCCCTTCTAAATTAATCGAGAGTCTGAAGATTTTTTTATGTTATGCTATTGTGAAATAAAACAACCATAATCTAACAGGTTACATGTTTATATATGTCTGAAAAGGAATAATTTACAAAGTAAGTTTGTAATCAAGCCAAATTACACGTGTGGTGGCGTAACTCGGTAGATGAATTTCGCTGAAAGTCAGTTGTGTGTGTTATACACTTGATGTGGTCAAAGACGAAAGGTGTGATAAACACACAGCGCCCCCGTCCCTCCGGCTGTGTCCCAATATATTTTTAGAAAGGTGTGAACTCGGAACTGACCATAAGAATGTTTCAAATCGCAAGACTTTCCGCGTAAACAGACTTTCTGGGCCATCTAGCGTCGTGCGATTTTGATTGACAGGTGTAGCACGAGAATTTCGTGTGTAACCGAGAACATGTTGCAACTGGGTTGACGATGAAACAATGTTACAGAATTTAAATAGTTTTATAGAATGGTTAATTGTGACTTTGATAATGTAAATAAAACGAAGAATTAATATTATTACTTTTTTTTTTTTTTTTTTTTTTTTTTTTTTTTTTTTTTTACAGATTTATGTGAAAGGGGGTTAAAAGAATCTCTCTCTCTCTCTCTCTCTCTCTCTCTCTCTCTCTCTCTCTGAATTTTTTAAACACACTTTTCAATTAAAGAAAAACTTATAGAATACTTACACTGAAAGGGTTTTAAAACATAAATACTAGTTTATAAAAAGAAAAAAAAAACGTCGGTTACGAGAAATACGCTTCGGCATTATTAAACGAAGAATTAAATGATTTTTTTTTTCTTCAGACTTATGTGAAAGGGGGTTAAGAGCATCTCTCCCTCTCTCCTTTCTCTCTCTGACATTGTTTCTTTACATAATTAAGGAAAAAACATATTAAATTCTTACATTGAAAGGATTTATAAAACAGAATTTATACTTACTAGTTTATGTAAAGAATTTATTCTGTTACGAAAAATACGCACATTATTGTACACAGGAATTTTGCTCTCGATTCTCGCTTATAAATTTAGAATAATATAAGATAAACAAAATAAATGTGCTCTACACAAGAATATAAATGCTTGGTTTGTACACTAAAACAAATACATGCAGCTGGGATCGTATAACACATGTAATACTGATCATGCCATTTCTTCATTACGTGATTACGTGGGATTAAATTCTTCAGACATTAAAAATTTCAATCCAATAATAATTTTAAAAAGTATCTAAACAACTTTACGAAATATGAACTTCTGGGCGAACGGTAAATTCAACTCCATTTAATTTTTCTGTTACTGATATTAAATCCTGTTACATGTATCATTAGTACAATTCAGAACACATGTCAATGTCTTCTAGATTAGAAAACGATAATTATACATATAAATCAATGTGCTAATTGTTTTAAAATCTTAAAATATTTTATCAGAACAAAATGATTTTTCTCTGTAATGTTATGGCCACGGTGCGGCACGGAGGGAATTTTCTGGGCACGGTGCGACACGGGGTGCATTAGCAGGGATTTTTCTAGACACGGTGCGGCACGGTGTGCCTACCTGTGTATTTCAAATCCACACACACCGTGCTACACCGTGTACACGGTGTAACACAGAGCATTTCACACGGTGTGTTTTCCACCGTGCGACGGGGAAAACTCGTGGCCTGTACTGTGTATATATATATATATATATATATATATATATATATATATATATATATATATATATATATATATATATATATATATATATATATAACGAAATTAAGGTAATATTTATGACTATGCAGAGAAAATTGTTTACTATACGGTTCAATAATTAACGTTAATGGACTAAAACAACATTAATCATGGAAAACTAGACAACAGGGATATTTTCGGAACAATGCCAATGTCTGATGTGACAACTGATATCATGTTTAAAGTAGTAAAATATTGTCAAATTGTCCATTCTGAAAGAATGATCTGATTTCGGACCTAAGACTATTTATAAGTGTGTTTTCTTCTGTCACAATTAATGAAACCAAACGTAAAAATAGGTGTATTGAAATCAATGTTAAAAATGTCTTTATTAAAAACACTGCGCCATTATTCACAAATACATTTACTATGAATACAAAATTAATTTTCTTTTCCAGGTGGCACCAATCTTTCGTTTCTATTCGCTACATTATTACTCCTTGTTCCTGGTAGTTTAGTAATCGTCATAGCATACATGAAATTCAAATGGTAATACATTTATCGTTGACTTCTTTTAATTTTTCAAAAATGCACACTTCAGATAAAGCTCATTAACGGCAAAAATGTTTTACAGGAAGCACAGAAGAAGATTAAGTGAACATCAATTGACGCTTCTCATGAGAAATGGTAATACTTAATATTAAGCATATATATATATATATATATATATATATATATATATATATATATATATATATATATATATATATATATATATATATATATAACTATTATTACATTTTTCATCAATGTTTGAATTTCAGAACAATCATTTACAGATTATGGCGTTGGGAACAATGAAATTTCCTTGTATAACATTCGTGGATCTCAGGCACTTTTGACAGAACTTGATCCAGAGGAGGAGATTGAAGATATTACTGTTCCAGAGATCCAGAATCACATTTACCTTAATGTGAAAATTTCACGGATTTTTGTAAACAGTCTTTGGGAATTTACGATAAAGAATAAAGCCAACGATTACCTGAAAGAAGAATTCCAGGTATAATGAACTCTTTGTAGGTGAAATCTGAATACATTCGACGATATAAACAGTGATCAGTTTTAATTCATTCAATAAAACTAGTTGATTTTTCTTTTGTTCAGGACCTTCCTGAAGGGCTCTTGCTGGAGTGTAGAGTAGCACAGAAAGCAGGAAACAAAAAGCTAAACAGATACAAACATATTTATCCTTGTAGGTCAAAATTTTAAACATTATTAAATAAGTAAAATATATATGTAACTTGGTTTGTATTAAACTGATACAAAAAATGATTTTTTTTTTACAGATGATACAACGAGAGTCGTTCTTAATACCGAAAACGGAAGCAAAGATTATATCAATGCCTCTTATGTGAACGTAAGCGTTTTAAGATTTCATTCTTCCTTCCACACACAAGTGGATTTGTCATGAAATAAAGCTTACTTATTTTATTTCAGTAAGAAGGAATACTTAATCTGAAGCAAAAACCAAGTTATTTTTCAGAAAGTAAAGCTTAATTTATTTTTTTAAGTAAAAATATTTTTGATCTGGAGTAAAATCAAATTAATTCAGAATCTGATAAAATTATTTGCATATAAAGTAACTGAGATTGAATGATGCAAAAATGCTTTCCTGTCAGATGCAAGGTAAAGAAATGTACTATTTGACATGCATTCCTTATATGTATCAGGTCTACAAAATGTGCGCCTTTCATCTAAGTTTTAAGATAAATTGTATCTGTTAATGATGCTTTCTGGAATTATATCTCCTGTCTAACTTAAGTTTTGATATTAAACACATTAAAGATATTTGTAGAGCTGACATTATTCTAATTTCCTGCAATTTGGTCTTAAAATTTTAGGGACTGGAAAAACCTCGAGAATATATAGCAGCCCAAGGCAAGATACATCATACAGTATAATTATTATTAATATATCAGTAAACAGACGTTGTTGATTTGTACACATCTGATAAATAAATATGTATTTCTTATTATGCAATAGTTCTGTTTAGGTCCGTTTACTGGCGATACGATAAATGATTTTTGGCGAATGATTTGGCAATCAAACGCTAACACTATCGTTATCCTTACAAACTTGGAAGAAAACGAAATTGTAAGTATATTCTGATTTTAGGGACCTATGGCAATATTCACAGTAGCATTTATTGACTAGGTTTTATACACTTTTACAAATTACAAATCAGATGAAGTGCAAGAAGTACTGGCCGAAATCAGAAATAAGTTATGAAGATTTACACGTAAAGACGGACACAGAGGAGTCGTCAACGCTGTTTACAGTTCGTCGTTTCAAAGTACTAAAGGTGTGTATATATTTATCGTATTATTAAGCAAGGATTTTATATGAAAAGAAACGGCTTAAAGTTTGAAAGATTATACAATTTATATTCATGATACAAGTAAACAAAGAATTTAGAAGAATAGAAACCGTCTTTAAATTTGTAACAATATACATGTATCAAATTAGAAAGGATCCTTTAAAAGAGCCTGTGAAATATAAGAATATCAAACATAAATCAAAATTGAAAGTCCATCGAAAATATACAGATTATGAGCAGGGCAAACACAGACCGCTAAAAGATCAGAGTTGGGATCAGGTACCATGGAGGAGTAAGCATTCCCTTTCTTCCGGTCACACCCGCCGTGTGCTCCTAAACGGAAAAATCCCATAGACAATTCAGTGTAAGAAATTGGTCACACGTAGAACGTTCTTACGTCTCTTTAATCTCCTACTTAAAAACTGAAAATTGACTGAAATTAGTTGTAGTGCTAGTATACCTCGTTGATATAATCAAGCAAGGGATACAACTAGAATAACCCCCTTAAATAATTTATTTCGACCGGTATTTCTTTGAAAATATCATGTTCTTTGTACTTCACGTGCTCATGATTTTAGTCAATCAATTTTTAAAAAATTGTTACATTCTTGAAGATTTTCTCTCAAAAGAGCTTTTGTACAATATAAACTTTAACTGCATAGTACATTTGTGGCCATCGTTTATAAACTTCATCTTCCAAGCATAAAAATCTTGACAGGAAGGTGAAGAAAGAACAATAGAGCAATTTCACTTTACTGCCTGGCCAGATAAAGGTGTCCCGAGAGATGTCAATTCAATCTTGGAATTCAGAAACAGAGTAGTTCGTAAGACAGATATATCGGGACCCCTTATAGTACACTGCAGGTATGTGTAGTATGTCAGTCTCGTCTTTACATATACAAAACAGGTGGTTGTAGTACTCGTATGTAATGAGTCAACCTTGTCTTCACGTTAACTCTGCAAGTAGTGTCGTCTTTTTGTTTACATTGTAGGTAGTTGTAGTTACGTTAGTCTCAATTTTACATTTACACTGCGGGTAGTTGTAGTAATTTAAGCCTCGTCTTTCACGTTCACACTGCAGGTAGTGTTTAGATAGAGGTGTAGGAAGTCTTACAACATCGTCTTCAGATTAACACTTTAAGGAGAAAGAGAATTCCATTGGAATAAAAATCACTTTATAATTAGAAAATTCAAAAGATCTATTACTCATTGTTAGTCATTGGTATTGAAAAGAAAAAAAAATATTGCTTGAAAATCGTAGAATTTTTTAATTTAGTAGGCTAAGAAGCATTGATAAAGCACCAACCTTGCTTAAGGTTAAATGAAGATTGAACATATATATGTAGAGAGAGAGAGAGAGAGAGAGGGGGGGATATGAGAATTATGAGATGAAATTATTTGAAAAAGAAAAAAGACACAAATCCATGATAGTTATTCAGTACAGCTTGAATTATGTTCATATAAAGTAAACACTGCAATGCTTTGCTCTAAAATTAAAATAGAGGAATTTTAAGATGAACTTCCTTTTTTTAAATCTTGACAATATATGCTTTTGATGATTAACAAGCTGACACACACATAAGTGTTTTCCTGTTCACAAGGACTGTTTTAACCGTTTAAGAGATCTATTTCAAATACCACACTGTACCAAGCAAAGACATATCTAGTTGTGCGTCACTGAAAATATGATGTTGACGAGAGATGTATTTTCCTCTTTGTAAATAGCACAGCATAGCACAGCTGACAAAAACAGGCGTTTAATAATTAACCTTGAAAATCCAACTTTGGAATTTTGAAATTTTGAGGAAATAAATTAATTTGATATTGAATTCCGAGTAATAGGAAGAACATAACTGTACATGTATATAGATTGAAGCTAAAAATAATATATGTCCAGTTAGAATTGCCCAAACCACAACAAGCATTGAATTAGACACATCGAACCATATGTCAGATGATATACGTTTTGAAAAATTCAAAGATGAGCTATGGGGAGTGATTCCCTGAAACAAAACATTTCGATTGCAAGAACAGGTGTTAGCTTCAGGTACATTTTAAAAAAAATTAAGTCCTACCTTTAAACTACAAGGGTTAAATAAAGATCATTTCTTAGTTTCCTAAAAGAATTCTACTTATTTACTTAAACACGAACGATTAGTCAAAATTAATAATAAGAAAAGTTTTATTTTATACATGAAAAGAATATGTCGGTAGATTTCTGATTAAATAAAGTATATCTAAATGCCGGTTGTGTTCTCAATTTCAAAGATGCTTGCGTTTTACTTGAAAAATTGTAAGATTCTCTTTCAAGATATTTTAACAGATATCGCTGCATCTTTCTTGAAAAAACGTTGAACTAATTTCGTACTTTACAAATATAGAGTAGGCTCCTAAATTTCTGTGAAAAAGCGTAACCTACTTCCTGGTCCTCTGAAACAATCTTCATAATACAACTAGAGTGTTCCAAAGAACGCATGTGTGGCCTGCTTTGTAGCTTCATTATAAAGATGTACATAGATCTAAGAGTGGTCAACTTTTATTAACTATTAGCATTAGAGTACATGGATGTGCCTGCAACGAAAAATAAAAATATTCAAGGATAGTATAAGACTGCCATAGAATCTGACAATCAAAGAAAATGTGGCTCCCCAACCCTCAAACGAATAATTAAATTGAAATTATTAGAAATAATTATTTATCATTTTATTAATGAAAGATGGAGATACCGAACAGTATTCAGGCTCATAGTCCATTTAAACAATACAGATCGGGAGCAGAGCAAACACGGATTTCCAAGAACATAAAAGGTGGTATCGGGTGCCATGCAGGATTAAGAATCTTCTGTCGACCGGTCACACCCGCCGTGTGCTCCTTCTTATCATGTAGCGTGATACATGATCGAGTAAACGGAAAAATCTGTAGAAATGTCAGTGTGTAAATAATGGCCTAACAGTTAGTATGAAAAACGTCATTTCGCATTTGACCTAATGATAAATTTTATTTGCTGATAAGGTCATTGTATCGATCATAGAACTTACGAAATGATGACTTCAGACGAGACTGTTGATATCCTTGTTTCATCAACTTGTTAATAGTATGCCTCGTTTTAAAAAAAATGATCATACGTATACCATACTCTTGCGTATCGACATAAACCACATATGCAGGTGATAAGGGTATTTTGCTACATATGTAAAGGAAGCTGACAATTGAAAATTTGAAGTCAACACGTTTATCATTAAGCTTTGTTGTTAGGTTACCGTTAACGTCTTTTTCCAGTAATATATCCAAATATGAGACAGATGTGCCAGAACTCTGTGGTGTCTGGTGTCTTTATTTCAAGTTTATTGGGATATATCGAATCGACATATGAATGAAAGTAACTATTGTTAATTGATAATACGTCGTCCATATATCTAAATGTCGAGTTGAACTTGAAGGCCACAGCAAGCATTTTCTTCTTCACATGTAGAAGTTTTTAAATAAATTCTTCTTCATATGAATACAAAATTAGGTCTGCTAATAACAGAGTGCAATTGGTGCCCATGGAAATTCCAACACATTGTTGGAAGACCTAATCTCCAAAAACTATATAGATATTATCAATCAGAAACTCTAGCATCTTTTTAATATAACCTTCAGAGTAATTGTCTGTTCAATCAGAATGTTTTTTAACGAAATAATTTTGCAAATGACCAATGACAAGGTAAGTTAGTATATATACGAGTTCCATTTTAATTGAAAAAGAAGCTGGATTTTAATTAATCATGAGGAATGGTTGTATAGAGTGTTTAAAAGTCGTACCTTTTGATGTTATCGATTTTGGGGAATTTTTAGTGATTTCAAAGAAGAAGGTACGGTTTGGGCCTAATTGTAACCTAATGTTTTCAAAAAGTTATGGAATTGGCTTAAATATGAGTTGAGTGTTTGAATGAGATAAATCATGAAAGAATACGGCATGAAGGGGGACCATTCTGGAAAAATGACGTCATTAATTTGGTACATTTCTAATTTTTTTTAACAGGAGAGCCCCAAAATGACTCATTTCAGAGGTTATTTTCCTTAAGAAAATAGTGTCCACAGCCTTCGTCCACTGCAATTTTCAGATACGTTGTGTAAAATTCTTTGAAAAATTATATTTCTGAAAATCTTTGTGGGCGATGCATGTGCTCCATATTATCCGAGAGAAAATTCCACTGAAAATTGATGTCTTCCGCAACTTTTAAAGAAAATACGGGAAAATGCATAAGTTCATGACGTCACATTAAGCCTTTAGAAGGTCATTTGAAAAAAACAACAACAACGTTTTGTACGTTCTTCCTGCATGGAATTTCAACTACTCAGAAACATTGAGTTTTGTTTTCTTATATCACTTTCATATTTTAGAAAAAATACAGGGCCAGATTTGTATTGAAACTGTACCTTGTTCTTTTCTAAAAGTTCCTTAGAGTTTTTAAGTATCCGTACTCTGATTTATACCTAGACTATACTGTTGTACAGTACTCCCGAAGTTTTTCAATCTCTGCTGTAAATATTTTAGTGAGGAGTGAAGAAGAACATTTAATGGAACCCGCTCTGTATCTTTGTTTGTAAGGATTTTTATGGAGTTTTGGAATCCAGTATATGTGTTTCCAACAACCCTCCAATTCAGTCAGTCATTTATAGTCAGTTTACACGATCCATTGTGGAATACCGATCCCGATGTATTTTCACAGTATTTAAATATTAGTTTGTGTGATAACTGAATATCATACGGTATCAAAATACAGTAATATGAGCTCACAAACATGTATAAACACGTATAAATGCCAATTATCAAAGCCCTGCCTCTCAAAATTCAAAAGACATAAGTAAAACTAAACTTCCCGGGGTGTTTTTTGAAAAGCAGGTCAAAGGTCAAGTGGATTGTAACACTGGTATTTTTCGGATCGGCTTCGGTCGATCGCAGTTGATTCCATATGGGGCATCCGGCAAATCCAAATATCAGCGCTTACATAACGCCCTAAACTACTTTTGTTTACCATTCACTGACTTCTTCGAATAAAACTTTCAGAACATGTTAAGTACTAACAAACATTATTTTAATGCATTTACCTTGAGATGCAGACGTTTATTCCGTTACAAAGTGAATACACTTACATTATTCTTTTCATTTCGTTTCGGAAAGCAACGAAAATATTCAAGTCAAATCGAATTAAGAAAGCGCGACCACATGTATCATTTTCTATTCTTCTAGCATATCATCTTTCAATTTCACCATTCAGATTGGAAGTATTTCACCTTTAAGTGCTTGACACATCACTTAGCCATAACATTACATGAAATCACATTATCTACGATGACACCATCTCTAATTTTGTCGATTGATTTTGCACACGGCTCATAATTTGTTTGGAGTTTAGCGGGAAACATAATTTATACATGTATACAAGGTTATTAAAACTATTTTCTTAGTACTCACTTTGCTGAAGAAAGGCGTCGGAAACCGGGGGAGGGGCTATAGGGGGGCTTACTTCCCCCCCCCTCTTTTTTTGTAAAGATAGCATAATATAGGCATAGAAAATTGGGGATTATTCACAAAACGTTTTTTGTTGATTTACTACCCCCCCCCCCTCCACACACACACTTTCAATTTGCTTCCGACGGCTATGGAAGATATTCCTGAACATAATTTATTATCCTTTTAATAAGAAAAAAATCGCTTACAAACTTGACTAGGTACATGCATGAGTGCTAATAAAAGTTTTATTTCCTTGCAAGTTTTATTAAGAACTCTGTAAAAAAAATTAATAGTTAATTTATCTTCATATTATTTTTCTTTTGAAAGGTTCAGCCTATTTGATTTCATGTCTCTTATAAAAAAAATGATAGTAGTCTATTTTCTGATACTTTCAGTTATTTTTAATTTAGCTAAATATATCTACAGCAGGGATACCCGTAGTAATCTTTTCGAACGCAAGGAAGCAGGAAATGGGTACGATTTCATTAGAAATACTTATTTTTAGAACTTAAAACCGTTACAACGTCCTTCTCCAATCAATGAAATAATTTAATGTTTTCAATATCTACAACCTAACATCTATATGACCGTTACAACGTCCTTCTCCAATCAATGAAATAAATTAAATTTAATGTTTTTAATATCTACAACCTAACATCTATATGACATTAAATTACAATTCACGACAACATGGTGAAAAAAAAAAGAAATGCTAGATGAGTGGAAGTGGTACATTTAGCATAAAATTAAAATACATGTACATGTATCTTATCTTTTAAAAAGGTGGATGTTCGATAAGCATTGAAAATCAGCTTTAAATAGTATATATATTTTTCACTGCTTGAAAACATTACTCACAGAGATAATGTCTAAATCTCACTCATATATAGGGCAAACAATTTCGATACGATATGATATTTTATAAAGCGATATGCGATATATTGGATTCTTTAACGATTCTATCTAATGCATAAATTTTACAAGAACTGAACGTTTTATAACTCATAGTTTCGTAGTTCTTGTCTCACTTTCATTCAATATACACTTCAAATTCATACTTTTAACATCTGTAAATACAACGTGTTAAAGTTATATATGTATATGTTATATGTTATGTAATAATTTTTAGGGATGTGCTATCTCCTTAATGTTTATTTCATTATTGGCCAGTTTTAATTCATTATTTCATTATTGGTCAGTTCTAATTCAAAACAGTAAAGTATAATCTTTTGTGATTGAAATTCCCAACTTTTTCACAGAGTTACAAGAAAAACTGCCGAACGTATTGGAAGCTAAATTTTCGATACAATATATTTTTCAATATCGATAAATTGATCCAGCCCTACTCATATACATGTAGGACCTTCGAAATTTAAGTTCCCAAATACGTTTGTTTCACACGTGTGATTCCCTGGCCATAGGTTTTGTTTCACGCAGAAACTTGGATGTCCATGTTACCGAGTAGTATGGGAAGATATGGAGTTTTTAATTTCACTGTACATAGGCATCGATCTCTGAACACGTTTTGTTTCAAACTTTTCTGTTTAAAAAGGCAAACTTTAGTTTTTCCACGAATGCATATCTTATGACAAGATTCAGACACAGTGAACATATATTTTCCTTTGTTCTCAGTGCCGGTATTGGTCGAACGGGCACTTTTATAGCTATAGACTACCTGATAAAACAGGGACAGCGGGATGGCAGTGTTGATGTGGTCAGTTGTGTGTCCAGAATAAGACATCAGAGAGCTCACGCCATACAAACAGTGGTTCGCAGATTTTTCAAAAAAAAAAGTTCTACTATACCCCTATTCACGTACATCATCACTAACTCCATTTTGAGACTGACTCACTTTGATCTTTTAACACAAAAATTCAAAATACTGTGCTCTTGAATTATTTGAAATTTCTTATTAAAGTTGTTTTCTATCTTGTATAAATACAAATAAAACTGTCACATGCATGAATAAATTTCATACAATAATATATGAATAAATTTCTACATTCGACTTTTTAATAAGCTATTATAAAACAAAATATCAACAAGCTTGGCATTGAATGTATTTCATTTTAGTCATATGGCATGAATCGAAGTGAATGACAAGTATTCTTCTACCCTAGACTGTATGCAAAAGAGTGAGATGTAATTCGATTGTGTAGCATGAAATGCACTACATTCATGGTATGCTCATTTTAAGTGTAATTTTGTATCTCGATTCATTATAATCTGGTATTTTTTTTATTATTTGTTCTCAATGCTATCATAATAGGAGCAGTATATTTATTTATATGACGTCATCACAAAAGAACTTACTGGACATCAGAGTGCACTATTTAAAGATGAATTTAGAAACTACTTTAGTCAAATTAAGTCGATCAATCCATCAACTGGAAAACAAAATATTGAGGAAGAATTCCAGGTAATTTTGCATATAGAAGCAACTACTACAATTTTGTGTTCAAATCAAAGACTATATATATTGCTTTTCGTTTGCCCGTCCGTCTCTGTCATTTTGTTAATCTGTCTACAACGTTGACCATCATATTGATAACTTTTGACGTTTATGGGTTATGGATGTTTCGGATATTTCAGATAGAGCTTATTAACAGATAGTGTTCCATGACCCTGAGCCAAGGTCACTGGAACAATCTGTTTTACATAGATTAGAAATGGAAAATTCTAGTCAGGTCCGAAACAGTGAAATGAAGAAACATGAGAGACTTTGACAAAACGTTGAGTTTAAGACATTTGAAATAAAGTCACAACTTTTGTTCTTATATATTAGTAATATATATTAGTAAAAAAAATTATTCATGAACCAGCATTGTTCAACGAATTAAAGCTTTTTTGCTTTCTTTTTTTTCCCCAGAAGTTACTTTTTCTCTAAATGGTGTCAAATAATTGACAATGTTAGATTTTTACAATATATGCTCTTGAATGCTATTTTCTAACATATATAAAGAATAGGATTCACACTTAAAAAAAAAGACCAACCGTTTTCTCTTTTGTTTAATTACACGTACATGTAATTATAATAAATACTCATTTAGTTCTAATGCGAGCGACACGTTTATATTTCACAAAAGATTCCATTTCTTAAATTTAGTTATTAGTTGTTTATTTCAATTCACAAGTACATGTAGTTTGTCTCTTTTTTTCAGTTGATCGAAAAACTGTTACCTAACTTTGATGAAAAGCGGTACCAAGCGGCGAGAGCATTGAACAACCTATCCAAAAATAGACATAACAATATATTACCAGGTATTTCGTTTATGCAGAAAGAGTAATCGTTATGGTTTTGATTTTGGTTTACATATGAAACAATAGACCCATCGATCACAATGCTAAACTGAGTCAATTTTAGCTCTACTGGTCAAAGACCAGAGTCTTATGCGATAGTAAGATGTCAGTCGTCCGTCCGTCTGACTCTCTTTCTGTCTGTAAACAATATTTCAAAAACACTACTCCTCCTACAGTTTTGGTCCGATTTCAATATGAATTGGTATATACGTGAACTACACTGACACATAATTCTGTATATCGGTTTTTGATTTCGACAAACGGTGTTGCATTGGTTATTGAATATAGAAATTTCTGTAAAATTCTTTCAAAATGCCACTTCTTCCTACAGTTTTAGTCCCATTTCAGTATAACATAGTACACGAGAAGACTACACTAAGATACATAATTCTTCTGTTTTTAATGTCGATGAACGGTGTTGCCATCGTTACTTAAAATAGAAAATTCTGTAAAATTCTTTCAAACGCTACTCCTCCCACAGTTTAAGTCCGATTTCAATATAACCTGGTACAGTAAACCACACTAAGATACATAATTCTGTATATTGGTTTTGTTTTCGATGAATAATGTTGTCATGGTTATTAAAAACAGAAAATTTTGTGAAATTCTTTCAAAACGCTACTCCTCCCACAGTTTCAGTCCGATTTCAATATAACTTGGTACACATTTAGACTTTATTAAGATACAAGATTATCTTTATCCTTATTTATTTATTTATTTTTATTTTATTTTATTTTATTGAAAAGTGTTGCCATGGTTAATAAAAATAGAAATTTCTTTAAAATATTTTCAAAATACTACTCCTCCTACAGTTCATTCCGATTTTAATGTAACTTGGAACATACATAGACTATATTAAGATATAAATTTCTATACATCAGTTTTTGATTTTGTGAAGTGTTTTAATGGTTTCTAAAATTGGGAATTTCTGTAAAAATATTTCAAAATATTATTGCTACTACAGTTTCTGTCCAATTAGACGATTAAACTTGACTTAGAAAGAGACCAAGGATCGATATTTTATACATTGCTGTTGCCATGGTTTGAAGTCTAAGTGCTACCTTTCTCTACTTTTGTTAAGTAAAACCAGTAGAGCTACATTCTTGTCAGAGACTTCTGGTTCTATACTTCAGAAGATATATTTGTGTCGTCATTCTAGCCTAGGAAACCTTTGGTTTTTGCCAACATATACACTGCATGGGAATGCTTTCCAAGTTTTTTTGACACGACCCTATTGTTCTTGGGATGATTTTTATCATAGATCTTCGCAACCCTGCACAAACCTAAATTTTCGTTCAAATATTTTTAACCATGGCTGTTGCTTATATTTCCAGACGAAAAATACAGGGTATATTTAAGTAGAGGAGAGAGTGACTACATCAATGCTGTCCAACTGCCGGTGTGTATCATGATAGTATTTACAGGAAATCTTGATAAGCTATAAAGTCAGAGAGTCTTGTAAATTATATAACTTAAAGAATGAATTTAATAGCTACCCAATTTATACGGTATAAAGTGGGTTGGGGCAGTTTACGCTTTATAAACCCCTAAGCGGTTTATAAACAAGAATAGATATGGGTTACACCATATCCAAGATATTCGACTTTTAATTTAAATTTACTCAAATTTTCACTGTGCTCAGCTGATCTCTAAAAGAAAAAAAATGCACTAGTTATGAAAGTAGTTCTTCAATCCGTTGTAAATACTGTCACCAGTCTTGCGTCACTAGCAAACAATGTACACACCTGTGATTGCAAGACCAAATAGCCTAGGTCTTCACAATTGCGATCAGAAAGTCAATCGCATCTAAACTCTTTGTTTTTCCGCTTGTCGGGAGGTCCTGAGAAATTGCGATTGCAGCTGTCATATAACCATTCCGTCAGTAAACAGTTCAAAAAAGAAACACACACACAAACACACACACACACAATTAATGATTAACATTATCTATCATAAGAAATTATATAATAATTAACGAACAATAATCATGGAAGTAATGTAATTGGTGAAAAGATTGTCAATCGAAGAATGACCCAGTAGACATAATTTCGGGAAAAAGGCTGAGGAGGCAGCTAGCGTAGGAAAATGAATACTTCTTCTTTACATTTCTGGTGATAAAATGATTTTCTTAAAATCATTTTACGTTAATTTTGTTTTCTTTCATGTATAACATACACATCGATATTCTAAACATTTGTTTTAATGTTGTTTCTGCTGATCATGAATGGAACTATATTTTTTCAGAGCAATTGTGTGAAGAGTTCCTTACTTTAGTAATATATCTTGATAGATACATGTAGTATGCACTGATCGAATATATTAGAAAGCGTAAACTGTTCCAGACCACTTTATAGCGTATAAATTGGGTAGCTATTAATATCATTCCTTATAATTTAATTTTCATTCATTAGTGTCAGAAAAAAGATGACTGCCCTTAAAAATGACTTCAAATTGTACAAAATTTAAATGTAACGTCAGGCGGATCGATACGTTTTTGTCGCAAGTCATTATGACGTAGGCCTCCCAATTATACGATATAAAGTAAATTTTTTATCCAATCAAATGGCACGTTACAATCAGAATTATAAAGGTTTGTTTGGAGTTATAACTATTGCATTATAGGATTTAAAGTCAATCAAACAAAAATAATATGTAATGAATAAAAATAATTTTTCTAATAATGACCTTTACTGACGTTGTAGGATGCCCAGCGTCCTTTCGGTTATATCTTAACACAAACACCTTTGCCAAATACGATGGGTGATTTCCTCTCCTTAGTGGCGGATCATGAAGTCTTTGGTATTGTCATGTTTGAACAAGATATAGAAGAGGTATCTTAAAACTTGAGATCCTAAACGTCATTAACTATGAATAGAACCATTGTGTATTATTGCTGGATTGATACTTTTTATTTTATTGTATTTATTGTAGCATTATTTTTTTCGAATATTTTCTTTTCATTTTTAGAATGTAGGAATCTACTTACCTTCAAAAGAGGGCCCTATTCTTTGTGAGTCATTTGAATTATTTCTACAAGATAAATCCGAATTAGGAGACATTGATGTTCTTAACCTGAAATTTTACGACAGACAGGTAGATCAGAATTATTTATGATATAAAGTTTATATTTATTATCGTTAACAATTTTTTCATAACTAATTATAAATCAAAATGTTCTGTTTTTGTAATACATGAGACTGAAATGGTTGATACAACAATATTTTTAGACAGGAGATGTACGTTCCATTATTGTGTTTCGTTGTCGTTTCTGGAAACAAAATCGTCTCGTTCCCGATAGTCATCAACCAATGATAGACTTGACAGAAGCGGTGTTAAATCACAGAAAAGAATATAGCGGACATCCAGTTGTCGTTCAGTGCATGTATGTAACTTTACCATCATGATGTATCGCCTACTCAATCACGAGGTTATTCTTTTATACGTTGTTTTATTCCGAAACTCAGAACATTCTTGTACACAACATATACATTTCCCTCTTCATTCATAGATGCATAGATACCAGAAAATGAGGCAGTTGTTCACCTACTCCTGTAACAAAAGTAGAATAAATATTTGAAGACATAACAGTTTTGATCTAAAGTTTTCAGGAAACCACCTTTTAAGCACAGCTTGAATATTTAATTGTTCTTATTTCTGATATAGATTTGTTACTATTTTATACTTTTTTTGCTGAAGGAATGGCGCCAAACAGAGTGGGATGTTTTGTGTTTTGGCTAATCTTGTAGAACAAATACAGCTATTTGGCACAGTGGACATCTTACAGACAGTGTTAAACATGCGTCACCGGCGATCTCAAATAGTTCCGTGTTTGGTAAATAATTTCACCCGGTTTGATTCAACATCAGTTTACAATTGAATTCGTTTCTCTGCACTTAATACGACACAAATGGACGTGAAATGATTATGCTTTTGAATACAAATCTTAACGTACTAAAATCTTAAATGAAAATATGCATCATTCTTATTCATTATTTTTTATTGCGTCTAGTGTTTTTTGGTCTTGCTTCGTTTCAAATTATTAGGATTTTGTTAACATTAAGTTTTGCATATTTCCCTTGATTATGAAACCGCATTTATTATTTGAAGATTTTTTACAGACATCTAATGTTTATTTTCTATCTGTTTTAGGAACAACTGGAATATATCTACGATTTTGTAGAAAACTACTTAAAATATATCGGACAAAATTGACTGGAATATTACCCGTTTTGATATTTAAGGAACCTTACCACAGTTTAGATCGTATGTCCTTTTTTTCAGCTGTTTTTGTCTGTATTTGTGTTATTTTCTTTGTTTTATTATTAGTGATTTATATATTCTTCACATAATTTAAATGACTATTAGAGACAGCTTCTTTTCTAATAATTTTCCCACGTCTTCTTGGGAACCCTAAAGGATGTTTGCGAAATAGTTATTAAAAGGGAACCAGTCATTTTATTATATGAAACAAAACATAAAATGTGACAGTTCTGTGTTTTTAAGGCTTTAGCTCATTTCGTGAGCGAGAAAAAAAATATTAAAATGAGTATCCCTTTGACTCCCTTTAACACGGGAACGTTAAGAATTTTTTTCTATGAGTTATTTTAAGCGTTTTGTCACATATCATTGCATTTAACTGTAGTGTAGATTAAAGTTTTAAGACTAGATACATTTAGCTCAGCATCAGGACTGTCAAATTCTATAAGATCAGATTTAGGACATTATTGTCTATTTATCAATATTTTTGAACCAAAGAAAATGGTAATTGTTAATTCTTTTGTGACAATTTTGTTAAATTATATTAAAACCTTCTTCCTAGTAAAAGTAACAATTTACCACGATGTACAAGAATATTTGGATGGCTTAGAGTCAACTCTATTTCCCCAAACCCCTCCTCCAACCGCTTTCTTCGGCAAAATCAAAATTTGTTTGGAGATTTTCAAGAAATGGTAGCAGAGTTAATATTTGCTAAAATAGCTTCAAACTTTCAAAATGAATATACTTTGAATTTTTACATGTTTTTTTTTTATTTTTACATCACGGGGAGATCACCCTGCAATTGTTTTTGACCACTGTGTTAAATATGTTACCTGGTGATCCCCGATGTTTTAATATGTACTTTAACATTATTTAATACTTACACATTCTTATGTAATATTATTTCTCTTAAATTGTAGGGAGATCCCACTGTCTGTGTCGTATAATTTGCCCAATAAGTCGGATTGTGTTTGTCGGGGATCTCTCTATTAGTAATGTAGTTTATTTGTAGTAAGTTTGTTAGATTCTTCATTCATTAATGACAAAATTCGTCAAAGCTGATTTAGTTGTGTTTTAAGGGGTAAAAATTAACAGAGCTACAGGTCTAAGATGGGACTGGAAAAATAAGTTGGGATTGTATATGCATTATTGACAAAAAAAAAGATAAATGGAGGGCATAAATAGGGGCCTATACTTTGTGCCAATGTTGTGTAAATCGCAGATCACAGTCAAAAGTTTTTTTATTGTTATGCAGAAATATTACATGTATATTTATATTTACTTTAATTTCATTTACTTTTTGTATTTTGCTATTGATTTCTTGTTATTCATTTTAAAATTCTTTCTTCCTTAATTATATAAAAAATATTCAAGATTTGAATAAAAAGATACAAACGAGTAACAAACTCATTGTCAGTTCTTATTGTTTAAGTAGAAAAATAAATTGATGGTGGCAGTGTATGATATATCTATCTTAGCTGTATGATATATCCTAGCTGTAAAAGACTTGAACAAACATCAGAAGGACGTATGTTACACTGAGAAAGAAGCATATGGGAAAAGCCAACAAAGAAAGACAACTTTCAGAGGCTCCAATATTTATTTATGATAAAGTGTAAGTGCTTTTTACCGTTTTCATGGACTCTTAAAGATTCTTTTGTGTTTTTATTTTCCCCATAAAATATACAGATACTCAGTACACGGAATAGTAATTAGAGTACCAATAACTTAAATCTTTATCCAATCAGTTACAGAATGTATTCAGTGCTACTGCAATGTCTACTCAGTGGACTAAGTGGCCTCATGTTTTGTGAAGGTTATTATTTTTATTTAAAGAATTATCAAATATTAAAATAAGCTTTAAAAGGATATCCTCCCAAATATACGGATCTGTCTCTACGGTTTTCCCCTTAAATTTTGTTGAAACCCAAGAACATTCATTCACTTTGAAGACATGGGATACTTAAATCGAAATTTTCATATTAAGCCAACGTTATTTTGTGCTTCTGCCAAAGTCTTTTTTTTCTGTATTGAAATCCCATGGAGAAAAAAATTACAACAAAATCCCACAGAATAAACAGATTTACCCAAATTTATATCATGTAACCAATTCATTTGTATTTAAAAATAAGAAGATATGAAAAAATAGAAAGATGTCCATGGGACATGAATGCCCCGCCCAATGTACATGTACATTTGTATAAGCATTGTAAAAAACAAATGTACATGTATCTTCTTTCTTTTGTCTGAGTTTAATGATCTCTTCTAATATCTAACGGCTAAATAAAGTCATTGTTTAAGTTCATTGCGTAATATTTAATTTTTATATGGTCTCTTAAGTATGTATGGTAAAAATGTTCTTACAAAGATATATACATGTATAAATGTAAGGAGTTTTCCCAATAAATCAATCAATCAATCAATGAGAGGGAATGAAGGCAAAATGAGGAAACAATGTGAAATTTTAGAAAACGGGGATGGTCAAGATTGAAGAATTTTTTGATACAATTTTATAGCTCTCCAATTTCAGGATACAAAGTTTGATGAAAATGTTTTGAACATTTTTTAAGAACTTAAGTACTAGCAAAATGAAGGAGAAGTGAGTTCAGGGTTATTAGAAAAGCTCAAGTAAGAAAATACTGACACAGTCGAATGGCTTTTTTATGCTTAATAAATATATGAACTTTCTTCTGAAATGTAAGTATTAGTGGGGTCAAAATCATGGAAAAGGTCAAGGTCAGAAAATTATGAAACCATTCTGAATAGATATTTCAAAACTGAACTAAATACAAAATAGGGAATAACAAGGTTTAGGTCACAAGGAAGATGGTCATGACAATAACTATGCCCAGGCTATATTCATGGTGAGGCATAAAATGCCATCTTTACGGGATTTTTTGGTATTCTGACCTGAACAATTGTATTTGGATCTAGTGTTTTTATTTTAAATCATTCTCAAAGAATAGGCTTAAGCAAGGGTTCCAACAACTGCATTTTAACATCAAATGTGAAAATAAACAAGAGGCCAATAGGTTTTGACACCTTGGTTTCATGTTCAACATATAAGCTTTACTTAGGGTTTAACTCTGGAGCCTAATGACACGAATTTACTTTTTTTGTTAGGAAAAAATTGTTCATATATTATTTGTCTGCTGGAAGGTCAGTTGTAAAGATGAATATCATATCAATTAAGTCTGGCCCTGAAGCCTGGACAAAGTGACAATAAATTTCCTGATTGTAATAAAGGGTTCATATTTCATTGTTATCAAGCATACACTGTACATATTTTCTATATAAAAATTTTAATATGAGTAACAAATATACCAGTATTTAAAATGTATGGCCAATTTATCCTCTGCATAGGATTTAAACGTTGGACAACCCCTGGGGACCTGCATGCAAGTGTAATCGTGCAAAATTTCGATCTAATATTAATAAAAAAAAAAAAAGCTTTAAGGTGCGATTACTGCTTGTACCCCTTCAATAGCAGATATGTAATCTTATGAATCAGACTTGTACATGAAGAAGTATCTTGCTGTGGTCTTCAATATTTACGTCTCGTTTAAAGCTAACATTTTGCAAGTTCTATGGTCGATGCAATAATCTTGTCAGCAAACACAAATGCTGACTAACTTTTTTCATATTAATTATGAAAAAAAAAAATAAGAAATACAAACATGAAATATACATGCAATTTTGAAAAAATCTAGTAACATATCGGTCATGAAATTGGTCTTTCTAATTTTTTTCATAATTTCTTGTTGAAGAATAAACAATAGGATTAGAATCTAAGAGCAATAATTGATATTGTTTAATATTTTAAATATCTGAAGCAGTACACTTGCATATATAGCATCAACAAAACGTTTTTTAACACTGTCATGTATGTAATTTTTGTCAACATTTCCAAATCGGTACTGTTTCGGATTCATGTTTAATTCATTTATCAGCTGTTGTGTACCATGTGACTTTTATGTGTACTGTTGTGTATGACGTCACGTTATTGGGTGTTCTTAAACAATAAAATGCTTTCTTTGGTTGTTAGTACGGGATTCAACGTCGCAGCTGTTGCCGGAAAAAACATAACCCGCGAAAGCGGGTTATGTATTTACTACCAAAGAAACCGTACTTACTACCAAAGAAAGGCATTTTATTGTTTATATCTATATCTGTATAAATAATCATTTAAATTAAAGTAGGATTAAAAACAATAATTATTGTATTATTGATATGTACGTCAGAGTACGTTTCATTAATGGAACAGCCACTGATCAAGAAATCTGTACAGGTGATATGCCTAGTGTTGTTCATGAACTGATAAACGGCAATCATATGGTTTTCTTTGAAATAAAGGAGAAAATATTCAGTGGATGTAAATATTCATTAATAAATGAAATGGATGGGACTAAACGTGTTGTTGATGACTCGTTTTTCCCCTTTTTTCTACAATGTTTGTTTAATTAGTATTTAATTAGTATTATATATGAATATGTGTATTTGAGTGTATTTACTTTGACCTTCTTGTAGAGCGAGGGCTAAAATAGGCTTTGCCTGCTGACCAATCTCTTTCACTTTTTGTGAATAAACTTATGTATAAATAAGAAATCTTCAAGCTATATAAGACTTGTGACGTTTTGGTGTGCTTGTATATATGAATTCGCTGCCACCGATTGTAACGTGTATTTTAAATCAACTTGGTACCTACGAGGCACGATACAATAAATGGACCATAAGGTACCTAACTCTGTTTTTTTTTTAAACCTAAGCATGGGAAGAAATTCTGTGGATTTTCTCCGGTGTAGCTTTAGACTGAATTCAATCAAAGCGCAATTAACGCTAATCTTTATATTACCCATGAGAGTGATGCGGGACAAATGATGTCAGCAGTGTTGAGGGAACGATCCAATATTTTTTTCAGATTTAAAATTAAAGCTTTAAAACTTTATTTTCAGAGAACAATATGAGGCCTTTCATTGTGTGTGTGTGGGGGGGGGGGGGATTTCAATATCCTACATGCTCAATAATAATAAGATGAAACACATATTTATAGAAAATAAACGAGTCAACAATAAACAAATTAAAATAAAAGGGAAATTAAAATAAATGTTTGAATTTGTAACCCTTAATTTGATGTTAGAAATAAGTTTATCACAGGTTACTAATTTTTCCACGCAAGTAGTGCCAATTAAAAACAGGTTTTTTTTCATTAATATGTCTTCGTATGTATACGGGGTGGAATGGGCTGATTTTAGGGCAAAATGGGAAGGAGAGTGTCTTGGGAAAAGAATTAAAATTTCAAATATTGAGAAATGTTGCTTTTGAATGCGTATTAGGAAGGGTGTAAATAGGCCATGTTTACCTTGTCCTCAAGTGTAAGTCAAATATTGCAGGGTAAGGGGTAACTCGCGGTGTCTTAGAGGGACTTGTACACTATGGACTCTCCTCAGATTTAAAAATATTTTAAGGTTATAATAAAAAAAACTCGTTAAATTTATAAGATTAATTTAATTAATTCTAAATAAAATTGAAAAAAATTTCACGTGCAAAATAATTGAGTATATTAAAGGAAATGAATGCTATAATTATCAATGACATCCGAAGAAAATATTTGTAAAAGTAATTTTATTTTCTTATATCCACCTCTCCAAGATTCTGCCATCAATTGTCTCGAATCACTCTTAGGGGAATCTCAGTGATTAGCGTTAATAGCACTTGCATTGAGTTCAACTCAAAGCTAAATCGGACGGGATTTTTTGGGATGTCGATAAAAAATAAGTAGCAACTGTTCCTTCGCCAAGCGCTCGGCACTTTTGAATGACCTAAGTGGATAAAAAATAGGTAGCAACTGTTCCTTCGCCAAGCGCTCGGCTCTTTGAAGTGAAAGTTGCATGTCCCTCGGATGAGACCTTAAAATCGATCGAGGGCCCGTGTCACGGTAGGCGTTGGCACGATAAAGAATCCTCACTGCTCAATGGCCCTGAGTGTCGAGTAAGGGTTCTAAATTTGAAGCCCTTCACAGGTATATGGTGACGTCTCTATATTCTCAAACGGGACGTAAAACAACACACAATCAATCAATCAATCAATCATATATATATATATATATATATATATATATATATATATATATATATATATATATATATATATATATATATATATAAAGCACTAAAAATGACCAACGACACGAACAATAATAATTGTCAAATTTTCGGGACAACCTGTCCCTTCCTCAGGACAAAGAAAAAAGTTAAGAAGTCATAAAAACAAAGGAAATAGAGAAGCAAAAACAACTAGCACTACTACTAAACTACCAAACACTAAATATTTACAATGTTACATGTTTAATTTGGAGTTTATAAACAGTTGT